GTTTCATAATTTGACATGTCTTGATGAAATATGAATCTTGACACTTGATTTTGACCAAAAAGTCAAAGTTTGACTTTTCAATATACAGTCAAATTTTGCTCAGTTGACTGGAAAATTCATCTGTCAATCTTGTGCATTTGGGATCTTTTGAACTTGTTGAACATGTCAAGACAATGCCATTGAGTCCTTGAGTCCATATGTGAGCTTGGTTTGCCATTGGCTAGGTCAAACAGTCAAAAATTGCCTTTGTGCAGTCAAAACCCTAAAAATGACCATTTTGCCCTTTTGGTGATCTGATCAAATTTCTTGTGGAATTGTGATCCAAACTTGATCAAATGGTTCATATGAGTTCATAATGTTGATGTGGGTCAAAAATCATGAGGTTTGACTGTCAATTGACCACAGTTGACTTTTTCCCCAATACAGCTGATTTCTAGGTCAACTGTCCAATTGACTGGGCAAAGATTGGAATCAGGGCTTGAAACTTGGTATGGATAAACTTGTGAGCCCAACATTAAGCATGAAAGTTATCTTAGGCATTTTAGGTCAAAACATCTTTGTGCAAACTCAAACCCTAATTTGAGTCAACAGTGCAAGGAGGAGTCTTAAGCAGAGTAAACCCTAACTGGATCTTGAGCTCCAAGGGTCTTGTGGTGAGAAACAATTGATGAAATGGGAGGGCAAATTTTGGGGTACAACAGAGAGGCTCAAGGAGTTGACAATTATGATAAAGCTTGCTTTTCAAGAATGGCAATGGTGCCTTTCTTCCAAAAATGGAAAATAGCTCTGGACAATGGCTTAATCACTTGGGTCATACCTCAATCAATTATGTAAATAATTAATTGTGGAGTGATTTACAAGTTAGAAGCCTGCAAAGCAAGATTATGCAGCATGGATTTGAGATTTGGTCAAGTGTTCTTCATGAAAATGCCTTGTAATTAAAGAATGAATGTCCAACTTCTTCTCTTCGATTCTCGTTGCTCAAGCATGATCTCTTCAAGTTCTTGGACATTTAGTAAACCTTGAAACATTGTATACAACCTTAATGTTGACCACTTTGGATAAATCATCTTGGAACTAGATGAAAATTGGTCAAGAAGTTAGGTCAAAAATCTGTCTACACTTGATAAAATTTTCACTAAGTGTTTTATGAAAAATGTCATGACTTTATGAGCTTATATCTTCAAATCTAAGAACTTTTTGGACATTAACCCTAAGGGACAAAGTTTAAGAATTCATCAAGATCTACAACTTTCATTTTGAAAGTTTTCCTTGAATCGTCTTTCATCTTGGTGAAAAATTGTCACGGAGTAATGAAATTATTAACGCTAAAAAACACTTATAATTTTCTAAGTCTTGAAAATATTGACTTTATGTTGAATTTATTGACTTTCTTGATTCTTGATGATCAATTTTGATATTTTTGAATGTCTTGATGAATTTTGACCTTTGAAATTCAATGTTGACCAAAAAGTCAAAGTTTGACTTTTTGTGTATCAGTTGACTTTTCATCAGTTGATCAAATTTCAACTATCAATCTAATGATCTTGAGAAGTGATTTGAGCCATGAAATCAGGTCAAGGTATTGATTTTGAATCAATAATATCATTCTTCAAGACATTAGGTCATGTACTAGGTCAAAAGTCAATGATCGGTCATTCTCAATCAAAATCCTAATTTTGACAATTTTGGTCCTTTGATGTCTTGATTGCTTTTATTGAGGCATTGTTATCAAAACTTTATCAATTGATAAATATGACTTTAAAATATTGATTTTGGCCAAAAATCATGAAGGTTGACTGTATATTGACCATAATTGACTTTTTACCCAATACAATTGATTTCAGTCATCTGAGCAATTAAATGAGAAAATTATGATGCAAGGCTTGAAACTTGGTATGAGCAATCTTGAAGACCTATAATGAACCATGAAAGTCATTTGAGGCATCAAAAGTCCAATTGTCCTTGAGAAAATCAAAACCCTAGTTTGGAGGCTCACTGCTTAGAAGGTGAGCTTATTTGGTCAAACCCTTGAGCATTTGAGATCTTTGGTGAGAAATGTCTTGAGGAAAGAGAGGGAAATTTTTGGGGTACAACACCTACTAATTTATATTCTCTGGATTTACTATAACATAGACAAAGATTAGTAGTACCTTTCAAATACCTGAAAACTCGCTTAATTGTTGTTAAGTTAGATTCTCTAGGATCTGATTGGAATCAAGCACATAGGCAAATGCTATAGAGAATATCGGGTTTTGAATTAGTTAAATAAAGGAGAGAACCAATCATAACTTTGTAGAGCTTATGCTTTACTTTCTTACTTACCTCTTCTTTTTCCATAATGCATGTTGGATGCATTGGAGTTTTGGATTGTTTACTTTATGACATATAAAATTTCATCAGAAGTTCTTTAACATATTTTCTTTGATGTATAAAGGTCCCTTCTGGAGTTTGATTAATTTTAATTCCTAGAAAGAACTTGAGTTCTCCCATCATACTCATTTCAAATTCTGCCTGCATAGACTTAGAAAATTCTTTGCCCAATGAGGCTTTAGTAGATCCAAATATAATATCATCAACATAAATTTGACAAATCAGATTGTCATTTTAAATGTTTTACATAATAAAGTTATGTCCACTTTCCCTCTGGTAAATTTTTTTATAAGATAAAGTTACTTAGTCTTTCATACCAAGCTCTGGGAGCTTGTTTTAGACTATACAACGATTTCTTAAGTTTATAAATATACTCTGGATGTTTTGTGTTTTCAAAGCCAGGGGTTGGTACACATATACTTCTTCATCAATGTAACCATTTAAAAAGGCACTTTTGACATTCATCTAATAGAGAGTGATGTCATAATTTACTACGAATGGAATTAAAAGTCTGATAGATTCTAAACTGGCGACTGGAGCAAAGGTCTCTGTATAGTCTATTCCTTCTTGTTGACTATAAACTTATGCAACTAGTCGTGTCTTGTTTCTGATGACTTCCTTGTCCACTTAGCTTATTTTGGAAGACCCATTTAGTTCCAATGATATTGGAGCCTTTTGGTTTCGAAACTAGATCCCATACATTGTTTCTGGTAAATTGATTTAGTTCATCCTGCATTGCAAGTATCCAATCATTATCTTGAAGTGCTTCGTCTATGGAGGTTAGTTCGATCAGAGATACCAAACCCATGAGAGACTCTTCAGTATTTCTAAACATAGATTTTATTCTTATTAGATCATCCATCTTTCCTAGAATCATGTCTTCAGGATGTGCTAATCTGCTTTTGGATTGTCTTTTCGGGATGGGTTCTTCAGAAGTTTCTATAGTGTTGGGGTTGATCTCTTTTTCTGTATTGGACTGAGTTTCTGAGTTTTTGTCTTCATAAGATCTATTTTCAGTACCTGTAATTTAAACTTTTATATCTGCAAAATGTTCAACCTACTTTGACTTTTGAGAGCCAAGCTTATCATCAAATCTGACACTAAGGGATTCTTCCATAATTCGTGTTTCTGTGTTATATACTCTGTAACCTTTTGAGCGTTTAGAGTACCCTAACATGAAACACTTTTGTGCCTTAGAATCAAACTTATGCAGATGTTCTTTAGTGTTTAACATATAACAAATACATCCAAATGGATGGAAGTAAGAAATGTTGGGCTTTTTATTCTTCCACGGTTTATATGGGGTCTTTTCCAGAATAGGTCTTATGGAGATTCTATTATGAATGTAGCATGTTGTGTTAACTACCTCTGCCCATACGTGTTTAGCAATGTTAGTCTCATTGATCATGGTTCTGGCCATTTCTTGTAAAGTTCTATTATTTCGTTCTACAACTCTGTTTTGTTGGGGAGATCTAGGACAAGAGAAATCATGAGAAATGCCTGTTGTCGCACCGTGTAAAAAAATGCAAAAAAGAAGATGTTGTGGTAAAGATTTGAGATTAAGCCATCAAGTGACTTAACTAACTCAATGAAGTTGTCACCGTACTTTATTGTTTCCAAATGGAAATCGGAAAAAGAGAACAAAACCCACAATGAAATAAAAATCAGAGATCGAGGTACGGGGGTCGGTTATACAAAGGGAATGTATTAGCATTCAAAGCATCTACAGAACTCTGCAGGATCCACTTTGTTTGTTTTATTTTAAAAGGTGTGTTATCTAAAGGCTTACTTGCTAAAGGAAAAGAATGAATGAGTATTTGCAAACAAAAGAAAATGTTTTTTATTATTTTTTTGCTCGCCTTGGGTCGTAAGACTTAGTGCTTACATACTCCCTCGTGCAATGGGAAAGTTAGAGCACCGTAGTTTTTCTAGAAAAGACTTGTTTATTGGTTGATTTTAAACGAAGAGACAAGTCATCATTTTTAGGAGAGAAATCTCAACTAACACCCATAAGGTGTGAAAAAGATGGACCTTGTGTCAGCATGAGTGAGGGTTTGAGAACACCTCTATTACACAAGTGGAAAAGTCGACAACTTTATAACCATGGGGATAGGAGAATTTTGCTCGACTATAAATGAATCATGTCTAATCTTGGAAAAAGTTTTAAAGGATAAAATATGCTCGAGTGCACAAAAGGGTTTGAATGAGTTGAAGTGTTTTTGTTAATTTTGAAAAATGTCAAAGTATGATTAAATGAATTGAAGTTTGTTTAAAGAAAATAAGTTTTAAAAGAAAAAAGCACTCGACAAAGTCGAGGTTTATTATGAAAGCGGTTCGAGTTTATAAAAAAAGAATATTTTGAAAAAAGATGAGAAGGTTTTAAAAATCAAAGAATGGGAGAAGATGAAGAGAGTATCCTATGTACAGGAGGGTAAAAGACAAGGAAAACAACCTTCTAACCAACAAAAATCCAACACTTGACACAATGAGTCAATTTAGAATTTCCATCCTTTGGATTGAAACCAAACAAGAAAAGGTAATAAACCTCTTAAGATTACAAACTTCAATTGCATTAAGTCTTCACAAAAATTGGGCAGAGTAACGGCTGTATACAGATGAATTCCCGATCACAGACAAAGCATGTAATCACAATAACCTGCACACAAAGCAACAAACCAATGTCTTAGGGTAAACTCCAAGAACTCAATACAAAATAAAATTTGAGTTCATAAGGTCTTAAGATAGGTGAAGGTCTCTAATCCTAAGTCCAAGAAGTCCATAACTCTAAAATGCCAAGGATAGTAACCAAATAGTCCAAGCAAGCATAAAGTTTTTTATTGATTAAGTTGGTTATTAGGTATCTTAAAAAAGAAAATGAAAGCTCAAATGAGCAAAATAAAGAAAATGACATAGAAATAAATACTCAAGTGAGCAAAATAAAGAAAATGACATAGAAATAAATACTCAAGTGAGCAAAGATAAGAATAGCATGAAATGTAAATGCTAAAATAAATGTGCTTAAAGTAAAAAGCATAAAGTAAAAGCATAAAATAAAGTCAATTGTTAGAAATTAGAGGTTAGTTGAATGAACATCTTGAAACTTGCATTTGAAACTGATTAGAAGATTGATAAAATCAAAGCCTCTCAACAACAAGTCTCATTTGGTTTTTGTCAAGTATATCATTCATTTTAAAATTCTCGAGGCGACAATAAATGATCAATGATGATTAAGTGATTCACTTTGGCCAAAGCTTATGAAGATTCATTAGAGGATGGATAAGACCAAAGCCTCCTAACAATGAATCTCAAGGTTATTGGATCAAAGTATTCAAATTAACACACTTGGGCTTACAAACATGGGTTTAGGCAACGAATGATGAGTTCTCGAATCGGGATAAAGTTTAGCGCTATGTTAAGAAATCGTCAGTGGACTTATATAGAAGCCGCACCTATTTTGAGGTCGGTCAATAAAGTCTATGCATCCATAAGTGTTCAAGAGCTAAATTGAAATTAAATTTGAAATCGCAATGCAATAATATAGAATCGGCAACAATAATTGAATTATTTACAATAACACAAAAGTAAAAGAGGTGCAAACATTAGATAATGGGGTGTCAACATGAATGGGCTTAGAAATACCCAATACTAAATATCCATATTATTCTAAAATCTTCATTGGATACTAATCAAATTAAAAAATAAATAATATCTAAAGAAGTAAATAAACAAAACTAAATTATAATATTTCTATATAAATAAAACAAAACTAAAATAAATAAAATATAACTAAAAAAGAAAAACACTAACAGGGGAATATGTTTGAAGGGAGGATATGGAAAGTCCGACGGGTGAAGGTGTTGCGTTGTGGAGTATATTGGAACAGTGGGCTATGGTGTTGGATGGTGACGCTGTAGAGGGAAGTTACGGAAATTGAAGGGAGATTGATGAGTAGATCAGAGGAAGTATCCCGGAGGTGAAGTGTTGGTTGTCTCACTGAGCAAGGTGCTTGACGGAGGAACTTGAGTCACAGTTTGAGATAGTTTTGTTAAGTTTGCATTTTGGTGGAGATGTTTAGTGGTGAAGACGATTAAATATGTTGAATCGGAAACAGAGACAGGTGGATGAGCGTTGAAGGTGTATGGCTGGAGAGAAACGGAAATTCATGGAGAAAGAGTGGTTTCCGGTTGATTTTGAACAGAACAAAGGGAGTTTCGTGTGTGAGTCCACATAGGGAGTATGTAAGATGGAAGGTGAGAGATGGATGATGAATGGACAAGGAGTGTTGGCAGTAGGTTGTTGTTGTACGTGGCTGCTTCGGTTCAGTGGGAAAGTGTGGGTTGAAGGGTAGTTGAATGAAGAACATGAAGATGAAGGCTAGAAGGGTCAAAGATGATGGTGAGGTTCACGGACTGAGCGAGTGCTCAGTGAGGTAGCTGAAGGTTGTTGTTGGGACAATTGATGAACGAAAAGGGTATATGAAGATGAAGAGGAGCTTTCGTTTCTCTGTATTTTCAATTTTGTTTCCATCGCTCTCGAAAATTCAATACAACTATCTCTCAATTTATAACACAAAACTTTGGTTTAACTAATTTTCTAAGTGACCAAAAAGTCCTCTAATAATAAAAATGACATAAAATCTGAACGATCAAAAAATAACATATACAAAGATATTTTGCTTTTAATTTTTCTGAATAAAAAATAGAGATCCAAAATGACTGAAAACGATTAAAAAAATGGACATCAATCTATCCGAAAAAATGAAATGAACACATTAAAATAAACTACATGTCACAAATATTAATAAAAAATTACTCAAATGGTCAAAATCAAAATAAAATGAGAATAAAAATATTAGGTTGAACAAACGCTTACTGTTAAAAACGAGACTTCAAACTATACCGAAAAATGAAGCGAGCATACCGTCATGATTTACGCAAATCACAAATTCATAAAATGACCAGTAAAATGTGAAAACTTGAAATATTTTCTCACTAATTTTCCATACAGTACCGAGTCGCTTTTAATGGTCTGTCTGTAAAACCAAAATATTAATATTATCAACATATAAACAACTTGGAGCAATGCAAGAAACGAGTAAAGAAATAAAAATTCATGAAGTGAAATATCGGGTATTTTTCAACTACAAAATGATGTAAACTTCGATTTAAACTGACTTTTGGTCAACTTAAATACGACTAATGATGCAAAATATGATGAGTGAAGATATTTATTAATTACTATGACCAAATAACAAAATATGATAAGGTAATGCGACTAAAAAAATTAGGGGCGAAATTTAGGGTGCAACAAATGCACCTATTTAATTATCTTTTAGCCAGATAGGCGGAAAGTAATTAAATACAAACAGGCCTGAATTTCGTCCCTGATGCGATGAGATGATAGCATATGTTATGAATGAATGCATGAACTCTTTTTTGACATATATATTTTTTCGTACATGGTATGATATGAATGCAAATAATAAAGACATTATTTGGAGAAATGTGAAACAAAAATATTTATGGTAGATTGAAAGAAATGACATGGAAAGACACGCTAGGGAATACAAGGTATTCTCGATATCCCTCAGGGTGACAAGGAGTAACCAGAAATACTTGAGAAGGGGAGACAAACCCTGAAAAGGCAAGCAGCGACATCCAAGAATGGCATTGAATGAGGCGAGCAACTCTCTAGAAAAATACAATCAGAAACATCTAGATGAACGTTAGATGTGAGATGAGACCAAATCTGAAGTTATATCAGAGTCGTCCAGGAAAGACGCTGGACATAAAAGAAACACGGCATCCAGCAACCTACTTTGGATGAAGGGAAAACTTAACTTCTAATAATTGGCTTTAGACGAGAGAAAAGAGCACAACCTCCAATGATTTTCTTTGAATGAGGTGAGATAAATAACCATGACATCCAATAATTAGATTTGGATGAAGGACGGACACAATATTCAATTATTTGCTTTGAATGAAAGGGAAAGGAATGATATTGAATAATTGGCTTTGGACAACAACAAAGATCATGACATCCAATATTGGCTTTGGCCAGCAACACAAATCGCGACATCCAATATTGGTTTTGGATGGAAGCAAAAGATCATGGCATCCAATATTGGCTTTGGATGAAAGAAAGGATCATGACATCCAATATTGGCTTTGGATGGAAGCAAAAGATCATGACATCCAATATTTGTTTTGGATGAAAAAAAGATCATGGCATGCAATATTGGCTTTGGATGGCATGGAGAAACATGATATCCAAGATTAGCATTGGTTGGAAGTGAGAAGTAGCACACCCAATATTAGCACTGGACAGAAAATGAAAACCACAATAAATCCAATATTAGCTTTGGAATAGAAACAACACACCCAATATTAGCTTTGGGCGAAAAAGAGAAAATGACAATAAACCCAATATTAGCTTTGGAATAGAAACAACACACCCAATATTAGCTTTGGACCAAAAAGAGAAAACAACAATAAACCCAATATTAGCTTTGGAATAGAAACAACACACCCAGTATTAGCTTTGGATGAAAAAGAGAAAACGACAATAAACCTAATATTAGCTTTAGATGGAAAGAAAGATAACTCATCCAAGATTAACATCGGACAAAAGAGTGAAACAACTCATCCAAGATTAGCATTGGATGGAAGAGAGGAACAGACGAACTGGCATCTGCTTTGGTAGGTGCCAAGTAAGTTGGACTTTGATCTCAAGGTGACATGTCAACAATAACAAGACCTCAGAAAATGAAAATGAGGATGAAACACTCTTGTTATGCATTATATATGAATTTTGTTATGCATGATATGTGGATGATCTATGCATGTAATACAGACGTTTACGACAATGGAGTTTGACTCTTTTGTGGAGGTAAGATTAGAAGTTTGATTCCTCAACACAAAGAACTATGCCAAATTTGCTTGGAAAGAAAATGTCTTGAACCCATATTTGTCACACTTGTAAGTTGTACTGAACTGATGATCTTCTGAGGAAGGACACAGAGAGATGCTTGGGGATTTGTCCCAGATTAGCTGACTATTAAGGATAAACTAATCATGGATTTAGTTATTGAAATGACTGTTGGAAAGGAATTCCCCGGTATGAGTCTTGAAAATGATCTTCTGGCTAACCAATTCTGAGAAAACTCACACTGAGCAATAAATCTTGAACTGATTCGCAATTGGATCTAGAAGATACTTGTCCCTGATAGGATCACTGATCAAGTTTCTTAATTGTTTGAAATTTCTTCATGAGAAAAACTCGTTTGCAAGAAAATATTATTCATTCAACATGGTAATTTTAATGCAAAAATTTCATGCAAAAGTTTTGAATTCAAAATCATTTTTGAACTGATATTATTGGTGTATAGAAAATGCATTACTGGTCAAAACACAGTGGTTTATACTTTTAAAGTGACAGAGAAAGCAAAGGCATGGATATACCAATACAAATGATTCACAAAAGATTTTAGGAGTCAGTTTACCCAAGTTTGTTGTAGTATGCTTTCAAAAGAAACCTGGCTTCAATTAGGTATTTTGAGGGTTGTAACGTGGTTTGGTTCACAGTTTAAGAAATAAAGGATAAAGGCTCAAAGTTCATTTGTACCCAACCCAATCTTCGTGATGTTCTTCAGTCCTACATCCAGTTAATTCAGACTATGCATTCAGGTTCCAAGAGATTTTGGAATTGCACTGATGGTAGCAATGGCGATGATTCAGAAACCAATGAATGTTTGAGAAACCAATCATTTCATCCTATAATAATTTGTTGTTTGAGGTGAAGGAAAATTGCGATCAAAACGCAGCAGAATATAAAATTTTCCTTTAGAGATCCTTACGAATGAGCATGGTCAGTGATAGAAAGTTTTACCTCTTGTGGCGATTCAGACTTTTGATGTCGTGATCACGAGCGTTGATGAAGAACAACGCCTCTACTCAGTCCACACGAACAGATCGCTTCCGGTCACAGTGCTAGCTGATCACGAACGGAAACCTTGAGTGAGAGAGAGAGAGTCAAAAACGAAAATGCATCAAGTGAAAAAACTTCATCACAAGGGATCTATTTATAGAATCACTCGTGTGGGCTACAAGCTAAAAGCCCAATTAAGGCTATAAGCTAAAAGCCCAATTAAGCTTATGGACATCATACCTTATGATGTACCATATATCACTTATCCACGTGGTACCTTACCACTTTCCGTATTACACTTAAGTGCACCGTACCTTACGGTGTTCCTTATTTATTCTATCTCTCATCAACCTGTCCTTATGTGTGTGACCCTGTAGGTTTTCGCGACGTTGGCAATTATATTAAATTACACATTTAATATAATAAACAGTGAGCGGTATCTAGCAACACATCACTGTTACCCAAGTCACGAAAATGTCATGTGATCTGACCAAACCTTTTCCGTGATAATATTTGTGTTGTACAATTACCCTTTTGCCCTCATGTCTATATTGAACACAAGGCATACACTGTGTCACCCTTGTCCAGTTCAATATTGGACCCTTAGACATTTATCCTGTTATGCAGGATGAGCAAATTCCATCTAGGTCACTCATGTCCCTTAGCATGCTTTGTGAAGTACCCATCAACCATCTTTATAGTCATCCAGTTACGGATGACGTTTGATCAGCAATAAAGTACTTGACTCTACATCTAGGGTCCATAGTGGTTTCAGGTCGAAGGGTGGTATACACCATTATCATCATGAGAATAACTTATGACACTTTGCATAACATTCTATGTAGTATTCTCATAACGGGTCAATCCAGTATAAATATTACTCCTAATATTCATACCTATGTCAAGACTTGATAACTCCTTATCTATGATCCATGAGATGTGATCATCAATCTATCTTCATAATAATTTTAATGCTTTAATGTTATCCCACTTCACATTAAAGCTTGACTACGGATACTTTAAGAATAGTTTCTTATGTTTAATGGGATCTCATGATTAAGTCACACTTAACATTTCATTAAACCAATAAACCATTCTAGGGACTTTATTATTTTGGAAAACATAATAAATAAATGCCTTTTATTATTAATAAATAATTCGATACAAGTACCAAAAGTATTGGCCTCTAGGGCTTACACCAACATGAGGAAATTTGTCGACTCTAGTGGAGAATTTTGAGGATTTAAAGACCTCTTCTAATTGAATTTATCATTCCCAACTTTTGCCTGAATTGTTTCATTTGAGATTATAGTCAGCAGGATGCCCTAGTTTTCACCTAAGTCTCCTTCATAGGTTTTGACTTAGCGGGTTCTTTTTCTTTTGATTTTTCATTTTTTTCATTTTTCTTTTTGGAAATATAATGATTGTCTGGCTCAATGAGTACGGGGAACCATCTTTGTCACTTTTGGTTTTAGAGCATCTTCAACACTTCTTTTATATGTGCGAAGGAAAGCTTGATCGTGTCCTTTATTGAAATGTGTCTTGCACGATTTCTCTTGTAATTGAATGCACAACCAAATTAACTGAGAACTACCCATACC